TTCCGGATGTAAGCACATTGAATTGAAGTATCATTTTATCGAAACCCGATAAATGATGGAGACTTGAGTTTGTTAAAGATTCCAGGTGCGAGAGAATCCCGCCGATATGTTGACCAAGACTGTTACAACAACTAAGTTGAGGCTTTGCATTGCCTCAACCGGCCTTCGAGCAAATTGATGATGAATGCACTACACTAGGTGGTAACGTAAATCAAACTCCAAGTGGGAGAATTGTTAGTATTATGGTGCTTGATTTAGTCCCACATCGATTAGGATTGTGAGATGAGGTTCTCTATTTTGTTATATAAGCAACCCTATGTAAAGTTTGAGATACACACAGAAATAAAAATTACTTCCTAGTGTAGTCGTGGACGTAGGCATACATATTTTAGCCGAACCACGTTAAAATTCTTGTGTCGTTTATTTTTCTCTCCTTCATTCTTTCCTTTATTATTGTCTTGTTCCTAACACACGACTACACTAGGAAGTAATTTTTATTTCTGTGTGTATCTCAAACTTTACATAGGGTTGCTTATATAACAAAATAGAGAACCTCATCTCACAATCCTAATCGATGCGGGACTAAATCAAGCACCATAATACTAACAATTCTCCCACTTGGAGTTTGATTTACGTTACCACCTAGTGTAGTGCCTTCATCATCAATTTGCTCGAAGGCCAGTTGAGGCAATGCAAAGCCTCAACTTAGTTGTTGTAACAGTCTTGGTCAACATATCAGCGGGATTCTCTGCACCTGGAATCTTCAACAAACTCAAGTCTCCATCATTTATCAGGTTTCTGATAAAATGATACTTCAATTCAATGTGCTTACATCTGGAATGAAGGATTGGATTTTTAGCAAGACAAATAGCACTTTGACTGTCACTAAACAACGGAGAACCATCTTGTTCTCTTCCTAATTCTTTTAGAAGGTTCTTCAACCATATCATCTCCTTCGCTGCTTCTGAGATAGCTACATACTCTGCTTCAGTGGTTGAGAGAGAGACCCTTCCTTGAAGTTTAGACTTCCAACTGATAGCTGTACCACCCAATGTAAATCTGCTAAGCAATTTTTCTATATATTTTTCTTGAGATAAGTTCAAAATACCTTTATCTCTATCTCGGGAGATTCTCATACCAAGAATTTGCTTGGCTGGACCAAGATCCTTCATTTCAAAGCTCTCTGACAATTATTTCTTCAACTTGTCAATTTCTGCCATATTAGCTCCAACAATCAACATGTCGTCAACATATAAGGCAAGAATGATATAACTATCAACATATTTCTTCACATAACAACAGTGATCTTCTTCACATCTGCGAAATCCTGAGTTTCTCATAAACTCATTAAACTTCTTGTACCATTGTCTCGGCGCTTGTTTTAATCCGTACAAACTTTTATGAAGCCTGCATACAAGATTTTCTCCGCCTTGTACTTCAAAACCTTTTGGCTGTGTCATAAAAATTTCCTCTTCAAGATCCCCATGTAAGAATGCAGCTTTTGACATCTAACTGCTCCAAATGAAGATTTTCTGCAGCTTACTATACTCAAGATAACTCGATGGTAGTCATCTTGACAACAGGAGAGAAAATTTCTGTGAAGTCAATTCCTTGTCTTTGTTGGAACCCTTTCACTACGAGTCTAGCCTTATATCTTTTGCCGCCATCCGGTTCTTCTTTCAACCTATAGACCCACCTGTTTTGCAAAACTTTCTTTCCTTCCGGTAGCTTGGTTAAAGACCATGTTTTATTCTTCCTGAAGGGACTTTATCTCATCTTCCATTGCTAGCTCCCACTTAATAGATTCATCTCCCCGCATAGCCTCAAGAAATGCTCTGCTCACCAAGATCAGTCAACAACAAATAATGCAATGAAGGGGAATACCTTTGTGGTGCTACAATTGTTCCGCTAGATCTTCTAACCAAGATTTCGGGAGTTGCTGACTCTACTATTTGTTCGAGTTCTGTCTCGAGCTCGACATAAGCTCTACTTGTATATTCTCGCCTTCGGTTGACTACATCACTTTCTCGAAATTTCTTCTAATGATACTTGCTCTAGTCGTTTATTTACATTTGCAGATTCTCGCAATCCTGTCTCTATAGAACATGTTTTCATTAAAAGTAACATTTCTACTTCGATAATTTTCTTGTTTTGTTCATCCCAAAACCTGTAGCCAAACATGTCAGATCCATAACCAATGAAATAACAACGTTTTGCCTTAGGGTCCAATTTATCTCTACTATTAGAGTCTAACATAACATATGAAGCACAACCAAAAACTTTCGGATGTAAAAGATTTACCTCTTTTCCGCACCATACTTCTTCGGGTAACTTATAGTCTAAAGGAACTGATGGTCCTCTCGTTTATGAGATAGGCTGCTGTGTTTATTGCATCCGCCCAAAATACCTTGGGTAATCCTGACTGGATTCTCATACATCTTGCTCTCTCATTCAAGGTTCTGTTCATTCTTTCTGCCACACCGTTTTGTTCTGGTGTTCCTGAACTGTCTTGATCATTCCGATCCCATTCTCTCGAACAAAACTCCTTGAATTGACTACTGTCATATTCTCCACCATTATCAGACTTCAAACATTTGACCTTTAAACCTGTTTGAGTCTCAACCTCCTTTTTCCACCTTTTAAACACGGAAAACACATCGATTTATTTTTAAGAAAATAAACTCATACCTTTCTTGTAGAGTCATCAATGAAGGTTACATAATATTGTGAACCTCCAAGGGATTTCACCGAAGCTGGCCCCCAAACATCTCGTATGCACTAGTTCTAGTCTTTCAACTTTAGACGACTTACTTGTTTTTGAGAAGCTAACCTTTTTTTGCTTTCCAAAGATACAATGTTCGCAAGGTCCAACGTCAACATGCTTCACGTTAGGTATTTTACCTTTTGATATCATGAGCTTCATTCCTTTCTCACTCATATGCCCAAGCCTCTGATGCCATAAGGAGGAATTGTTGCCAACTTCGCAACCGATATCATATCCTCATCTCGCAATCATGTAGAGAGATCCTTGCTTCTTTCCACGAGCAACAACAAGATTACCTTTCATTACCTTCCAATGTCCATCTCCAAAAGTGGTGTAATGTCCCTCATCATCCAACCGCCCTATAGATATTAAGTTTCTCTTTAAGGTTGGAATATGTCCGACATTATTCAAAGTCCACACGTTTCCATTAGAGGTTCCGATGTTAATATCACCTCTTCCTATGATATCAAGAGATTTTCCATCTCGCAAGGTAGACCTTCCCAAACTTTCCGAAACATAGTTAGATAATAGTTCTAAGGAAGGTGTAGTATGAAATGACGCACCTGAGTCCATAATCCATGAGTCAATAGAATTATCTAAACTACATAACGAGTGCATCTTCAACTTCATCGATTCTGTCGCATTTGCTCGATTGATCATCATCTTGCTTCTTGTTGTTGTTGTTGTCCTTCTTTGGAGCCCTACACTCGATTTGAAAAGTGGCCCTTTTTCCGACAATTCCAACAAGTGATATCATTCCGGACTTTTGCTTGTGATCTCCTCTCGGATTTTGATCTCGCCTCGGCCTTGATTACGACCTTTCTGGCAACTTCTTCCTCTAGTTTCAGTACTCAATGCTCGAACTCGAATTAGAACCGAAAGATTCTACTCGAATTTTTCCTGCGAACATCTTCGCTTAAGATCAAGTCACGGATGTTATCAAGCTTCAACTTGTTATTGCTTGCGTAATTACTTACTCGCAGTAACGGTTGCACCCCAACTTTCCGGTAGAGATGATAATAAAATTAATGCTTTCACCTCATCATCAAATATTATCTCAGCACTGATGTCAACTGCGCAATAATTGCATTAAATTCACTAATATGATTAGTAACCGAGTTACCTTCACCCATTTTGAGGTTGACTAGCCTGCGAATCAAATGCACTTTATTGGCTGCAGAGGGCTTCTCATACATATTTGACAACGCCGCATCAAATCTACGGTTGTCTTCTCGTTCATGATGTTGAACGCAACATTCTTGGCTAATGTCAGTCGGATCACACCAAGCGTCTGCCGATCTAACAACTCCCATTCTGATCGCTCCATGTCGGTTGGCTTCCGCCTGTCAAGGGTAGATACAACTTCTTCCGATACGGATAATCTTCCATCTGCATCTTCCGGAACCGAAGTCACTCGCCATCGAACTTCTCGATCCTCACCTTTCCTTCTTCCAATGCCATTGCTCTCCATCGCTTTCGAAGAAAGCTCCCACTGCTTCTCTAAACCGAGATTCCCAAGAAAAAGACCAAATCTTTTCGATGTGGAAGATCGAGACAAAGCTGCAACCACGAAGCATACTAAGAAAATTGGCTCTTGATACCAATTGTTAGGAACAAGACAATAATAAAGGAAAGAATGAAGGAGAGAAAAATAAACGACACAAGAATTTTTAACGTGGTTCGGCTAAAATATGTATGCCTACGTCCACGACTACACTAGGAAGTAATTTTTATTTCTGTGTGTATCTCAAACTTTACATAGGGTTGCTTATATAACAAAATAGAGAACCTCATCTCACAATCCTAATCGATGTGGGACTAAATCAAGCACCATAATACTAACAACTTGTTCTTCAACATTTCTTTCTTTTTTATTTTTACTTTTTAATTTATTTTTGGGTTTATGGTTTACGCTACATGAATCATGGGAAGTGTTTTTTCTATGTTACAGTTTCATTATAACGCGTGTTCCACTTGCTCCATTGCATGTCTCTGGGTTAAGGGGTTGGATTTCAACCTATAGTGAGTGTCTAGAAGCTTCGTTTCGTTGGTCCTTGTTTCTCACGAGTCAGTTAAATTGAGTTTTAGCTAATAGGAGCGAAAAAAAAAGGAAAAGAACAGATCTTTGTGCAGTACTAGGTAGCAGTGGTAGCTTCTATCACTTTCAAAATCGTGGCTTATATAAGGTTTTTTATTTAGGTGGCCGTGTTTCATTTGATGTTCTTGGGTAGTGAAAATGCCCGTTCCTAATGGAGAAGAGCAGGTTCTGTTGGCTTCAGAAAATGCAAGCGAGGTCTCGAAGTCACCCTCGTTGGATTTGAGCCCAGATTCAGATTCAGTTGATGGGTCCCCCCCTGTTTCCACCGTTTACACTGATGTGGGTGTCGTGCCAGAACACCAAAAGAACGAGCTTGAGCACCTTATATCCAATTTAGAAAGTATTAATTATTTAAGTTACCTATCTCTCTGTTTCTTTGTATGGCTTATGAATGTTGATGATTCATTTTTCTGGTTCGGGCTGAATTGCTTGTGTAGGAGAAATTGAGGAGCTGAGGTTGAAGCAGAAGAAACTGGATAAAAAGCGGAGAGAAGCATTGAGCAAGATATTGGACATCAAAGGTAGTAATAATGACTAATTATGTATTGACTAAAAAGCTTTAGTTTTAAGGTTATTGTTAATTGTTTACAAAGTGTTAAACAATTGAGTTTTGCTATCCAGGGAGCATTCGGGTTTTTTGTAGAATTCGACCAAATCTGGTAACGGAGAAGAGAAGAATTTCTGAACCGGTATCAGCTGGACCAGAGAAAATTCGGGTTAAGTTGGGGGGAACAAGGAAAGATTTTGAGTTTGATGAAGTTTTTACTCAAGAAACAAGCCAAGGCTAGTATTAAATGTCGGTGTGTTTCCCAATTTTGATTATCTTGTTGTAGTTCCCAAGTTGTACTAAAGAGGGGGTATGTGCCCTTGTTTGAACTCTGCAGAAAGTGTTTTTGTTGAGGTTGAGCCAATTCTAAGATCTGCAATGGACGGGCACAATGTGTGTGTGTTTGCTTACGGTCAAACAGGCACAGGCAAGACATTCACCATGGTTAGCCAATTCAACATTGTGTTGCTATTATTTGTCTGCAAACACTATTGTTACCTAGTATATGTGGCAGCATTGGTAGTGTATGATGATGGCATGCAATAATTGTTTTTAGGATGGTACAAACGAGCAGCCTGGAATTATTCCGCGTGCCCTTGAAGAGCTCTTTCATCAAGCCTCTTTGGATACCTCATCTTCTTTTACCTTTTCAATGAGCATGTTAGAAGTTTATATGGGCAATCTCAGGGATTTGCTAGCTCCAAGACAGTATGGAAGACCACATGAACAACCTATGACAAAGTGGTAACTCATCTTTGTTCCATTTTCTATTCACTCTAAACTTCAAAGATCGAATTCCACAATGTATGAAACTCTGGCTTACTACTAACCCCTTCTTTATAGCAATCTCAACATCCAAACAGATCCAAAGGGGTTGATTGAAATTGAGGGTCTTCTGAAGTACAAATAAGTGATTATGCGAAAGCCAAATGGTGGTACAACAAGGGCAGAAGGTTCAGATCCACCTCGTTGACTAATGTGAATGAAGCATCAAGCAGGTCACACTGGTGGGTTATAGGTGTAGTTAGATACTTAAAAGTATTTTAATGGTTTTCTCAGCTTGATAGTTACTTTATCTGTTTAGCTTCATATATCTAGCTTAACGAGGATAAGCATATTTCGACGTGGGGATGCTTCGGAAGCCAAAAGTGAAGTAAGTAAATTGTGGATGGTTGATCTCGGAGGTAGCGAACGGTTGCTTAAAACTGGAGCCAAAGGACTAACATTGGACGAGGGCAGAGCCATTAATCTTTCTCTTTCAGCTTTAGCTGATGTTGTTGCAGCTTTGAAGAGGAAGAGGTGTCATGTGCCATACAGGTATGTATTATGCTGATGTTGATCTTCATGATTAAGTATCTCCTCCTAGCTGCTACATGTTATATGTGCCTGAAAAAGAAATTTATCTACAGAGATTAGTCCTTTTTACTGCTGCTAGTTTTTTTGTACTATCATTGTTTCTTTCTAGACAATCAAAGTATATGTGGTTAGTGATTTATGCCACTTTGCTTGCAGGAATAGCAAGCTGACTCAGTTACTGAAAGATTCTCTTGGTATGATACTATTTCTTGATTTCTAAACTAAATTGCACTTTACCAACTTTTGTGCACGAAAACTTGTACAAAATTACAAATTCATAGAATTTGTTACAGTTACATGTATCAGTATTTTTAGCTCTTTTTTTTGTTGATTTGTGAACTTCTGTATGAATCGTGCATGCGTAAATGTGATAAAATGGAATAAACTACCAAGTTTTATCCTCTTTCCTCTAAGTAGTCCCTGAAAGAATAAAATTATATGAGTAATCTCTCAAGGATTGAATATCGTCAATTTAGTCCTTAAGTTGATAGATATTACTTATTTAAGGATCAATTTGAAGGCTTTTTAAATATTTGGGGACTGGTTAGCATGATTTCTAGTACTAGAGAATTATTTATATATTTTTGTTTTGTACTTAAGAGACCATTTAAGAGAGAGGACTACTTCATGCATGAAATTGATAGTTCATTTGATATTGATGCTCATAATTTATGTAGAGACTATTTTGTTGTTTTATATCTGAAATATAAAAGGTCTAATCTTCATAACAAAATACTCAAGGGTATGGCTCAAAGGTGTTGATGCTCGTGCACATAAGCCCTTCTGAAGAAGATGTCTGTGAGACAATATGTTCCTTGAACTTTGCAAAGAGAGCGAGAGCAATAGAGTCCAACAAAGAAGTGCCTGTGGTAAATTTCTGAATTTTTTCTTGAGCAAGTTCCTCAGTGGACATTATTTGAAGATTGCTGACTGCATGCATGCAATGTAGGAAGTGAAGAAGCAAAGGGAGAAGAAGATTATGGAGCTAGAGGAAGACATCAAGGAAGCTGAAAAACAACGCCAGAATTTAAGGGTAGAAACACAGAAGATTGAGTTGAAGCTAAATGATAGTAAAAAGCTTTTATCAACCTCATATAGTCTTGTGGAAAGTGATGACATGACAACCTCAATTAGCCCCAACGATGATGTGAAAGAGGTGATTGAAACCCCTAAAGCATCTAAGGAGTCCATTAAAAGAAATTTCTCCAACTCAATGCCTCGATTCATGACTTCAACCGTTGCAAGTCGCCAAAGGCAATGTGCTGCAGAGCGAGACATTGACACTGTGAAATTGAAAAGTTATAGATCAGTCTCTAAAAGTTCCATCCATTTTTCATATTCCCAATCATTAAGTTATTCAGATATCCGCATCAAAGCGATACTGCGAAGTTCAAATGGAAAATCTCGGCATGCTGAAACAGATAGTATTCCAATTCCAAACCCCGTTCTCACAGAAAGGCCTAAATGCAATGATTTGGAATCAAAAGTCACTACCCCGCGAAGCAGGATGGTTACATCTTCAGACCAAAACTTGAGAGTTTCACTGGGTCGTCATAGAAGAAGGATGTCTGATCTGATCTAATGGTTGCAGATTATTTTTTAAGGGATTGCATGTTTAACTTTTTGCAGTTTATATTTGTCTATAACGAATAGCAGCGAGTGTTATATTAATAGTGTGTTTTCTTGGTGTTTTGTGGGTTGAGATCAGTTAATTACTTCATTAACATGATCGTTCTCTGTTTTCGAGCTTGCTGGGTCGTATTAGACCTTTAATTTATGTGATTGTGTAACTATTTGGGGCGACTAACTTTTACTGAAGTTTGACATCATGACCTTTATACGAATAGAACTGTTTATTTAATTTAGCCTTGACTAGCGATACCATAGGGAAACAATTTACTATTCCTGTTGTTTCTTCCAGACAAGGGACACATTTATGATATAATTGTCTGGACTTGGAAGATCTTGTCCAAGAACAGGTACCATCCACAACTCAAGTTTATTTTTTTTTTCCGTCAAAATTGAATGCATAACAGAAAATTTATAACAATTAACTCATCTTCGTCAACTAATTAAGTTAGATTCCTTAACCATTTATTCAACCAAATTTCTTGACCATTAGTTTAATACTTACTTTAGACCGATTAATTTATGGGTGTGGGAAAATTACAATAATAACGTGGAGAGCAATTTTTTTTTCCTGTTCAGCTAGGGAAAAGAGACTGTGGCATCCTCTATGTTCAATTTCTAATATGATGTTTTCATGCATCCTCCAACCCTAGCTTCTTTAGGTTCTTTCTTCTTCACTCCTGGATTCCTCTACAGCATCTCTATAACTCATACTTCTTTCTCATACTTCATTGTTTTGTTGCTCTTCCATCTTCATTGAAATTCGTTTTCAACAAGGTTAAAAATTGATAATGCCTTGTACCTATGGAAAATATTCATCCCAATGTTCATAAAAATGAGAATGAAAGGACCAACTTCTCTCAAATACAAACTTCCCAATTCAAAAATGCATTTCAAATTAATTATTCTAAAACTTATTTATTGATAAGATATTTCATAAATACATTATAAATTAAGTATTTTAAAAATAAGTTCCAAAATAATTAATCTAAAATACATTTTCAAAATATCCAATTTGAAATACATTTCTAAAATATCCAATAAAAAAAGAGTTATGAAAATATGACTATATTGTTTATGTTCGAATCCACGAATTTATAAAAAAAAATCAAATCTCAAAATCTTGTTTCGAATCTTATCATGTTTAGAGATATTGTATATGACAAAAAATTATAGAAGCTTGTTTAAGATTTTTACATGTTTCTTGAAATAATAAATCTTTAATTAATAACAATAATTAAAAAAAAACAATAAAAATACTTTAAAATTTAAAAACTAAAAGGTTTAAAACTTATGAATAAACACTTGCTAAAATGAAGATAAATGTAAGAATAAAATGAAATTTATTTTAATTATGAGATGGAATAAGGAAACAGCCAATTCTTTATAATAATCATATCACAATAAGCTCTTGAGTGGTGTAAGGGTAGGTGTAATGATAGGCTAATTTTATTTTAGGCCAAGGTATGATCTGATATTTAGAAAAATATATTACTATGTTGTGCTTGAGGGTAACTTCGGTTATTATCGTTGGACCTTAATTCTAGTGTAAAAATCAATAAATGTATTCTAAATTTAAAAAAATTAAAATAAAGAAAAAAATCTTATGTATAAATGCTCGTGCCAGAATACGTATTTTTTTCATGGTAACCTAACCTTGACAAGAGAAATGCTGAAAGCCTTGTCTGTGGTATACGAGCTTCGTCACCTCGTTAAACCTTGAGCACACTGCTTGGTCAAATTCTAGACACTCCCGATAAAACGTACCTTTAGCAAAATATAGAAATTCCTGCTTGTGACGTACAGCAATTTACACATCACCGAGTTTTGGTTCCCCGGACAAGCTATCACAACAAATTCAAAATACAAAATGGCTCTCTGCAGTTGTTTGGCTGCAGTAGCAGTTGATATTTTCCTCAACACAGACATTTGCCGTTACAAGTTTCGATATATATATATTTTTTTCCATTTTATTGTATTCTTGTTACCTTTATACGCACATAACTATGCAGAATGCCTACTTATTCACACTTGCAGGGAGACTTTTCATGGGGTGGAATTTACAGAAATCTCATGCGGCATATGTGGAGCTACCTGGTCTTGATGAGATGGGATAACCAGACGCTGCAGAGGCTTTAGAGCCACCGTGAGTTGTGCAAAGGAGGGCCGCAAATTCGGATCCCTGACACGGGGAGAGGGAAAAACGTCAAACAGGAAAATGAAGTCTAATTGCAAAATTTCCTGAAATAATTTAATGGCGTGTGGAAGGAGAAAATAAATGAAAAAAATCAAAATTAAAGTTGAACATTCTTACTGTTGCCAACACTCCCAGATTATTCTTCCAACCATAGGATCAACTTCCTTAGGAATTTCAAGTCTACGATTTTGGAAACCAACAGCACCAACAACTTGCATAGGATTCATTCCAGTCCACGGCAACCTTAGAGTGGCAAGCTCCCACAGGATGACTCCAAAACTATAAACATCGCATCTGTATTTGATATGATGATTAATAGAGATGCATTCAATAGACACAGCTATCGTTGCAAGAAAAGCAGAAACTAATTATTATATATGAAATTTCAAATATAATTATACAATTTTTTACAATTTTTGCAATTATTTTGATGATATAAGTCAATTACAATACAAGATTGTTCTTTATCTCTACTAATGAATTATGTGTGAATTTTTGGAAAAAATTATGTACTTTTTTCCATTTCTCAAAACAAATTTTGATATATTATATAATTGGACCCAAATGATCCGAACCAAACAATCCATGCTCGATCCAGTTGATTCGGTTTAGATTTTGATTTATTTATTTTTTAAATTCAAAGCAATGAAAATTGATTGGTTCGGATTTTATTTCCTTCCAAATCAACCCTACTAGTAGAACCCATCTTACTTGTGAGGTATAAACTGTTAATGGTATTGTTTTAAAAGGACCAGGTCAGATGCTGTGAGTAGCTCAATGCCGTTCACATTTTTAGAGACTCAGTCCCAGTAGAGTGAAGCTACTATGAACAAGCATTGAATAAACAAATAAGATATGAAATGACAATGAAAATCAAGAATAAAAAAACCGTCATCTCAAATTAATAACAACTCACTTCTCATTCGAGGGTTCATTGCGGAGAACTTCAGGAGCCATCCATTCCGGCTAATACATTGACAAAATAATGTCAGTCAAATGTAAAAGGCAGATGAGACATCCTGCATTTGCCTAAAAAAGTGGTACACATAATACAGATTTTCTCAAAATTCTCACCGTTCCAGCAGTTGACTTGGATGACAAAAAGGTGTTGTGCTTCAACCGTGACAACCCAAAATCACATACCTGTAAAAAGAATGGCTTACTTATGTAATTCAGGAAATTGATTTATCCATAATTCAAGAAATACGTTCAAAAAAGGTACCCACAAAAGTATCCTTCGTATTGTGACACATTTGCCATGTGATTTACAACTGTTCAAAACCCAAGCAAGCCTTATCAAACCCGAGCAACCCAACTAAAACTACTTGCCTGGTTTTGCATTCAGTATTAGGCTGGGTTGATTCAAAATCCAAATTTCAGTTTAAGTTGGCTAAAACTAACAAATATAAAATCTGTCAGTAACCTAAAAAATCCGTCTTTTACTTGTATAACTACATAATTTTAAAAAGACATCATCATTGTGTTGTTATTATTATTATTATTATCCTATTTTTTATGACACATTTTGCAATGATAAAGAATAAACAAATATTATAACCAGCTTGATAAATATATATTATTATAGGCAAGCAAAATCATCCTAAATTCGGTTAACATGAATTCTTCATGTGTTTTACTGCTTTGAATTTTAAAAGGGAACCACGATACTTTGCTTTTCTTTTAAGAAATGATCCTGTCAAAAAGGCAAAAACAGATATAACAACCCAGCCTAATCAAAATTCTCTTCTGGATTGGTCCGTTAGAGGAATTTGTCAGTATGGCTTCAACTTAGGCTTTGATACGAACCTGCTGGACACATGTATACTGCTAGATGTTGTTGTATGAAATGAAGATGTTTCATGTACAAGCTGCCATAAATTGCACCTCCTATATACAACTAACTAGGCTTGTATATCTCTCACCAATTTATTAAGTTGACCATACACAAGCTTAACTCAACAGAGAAACACAAAACCATTTAGGTGAATGTCAACTTCAGCATCTGCATCTCTCCAATTTCAAAAAGTGGCGCTAGACAGAAACATATTGTATATAGTGGTCTATGTTTACATTACTATTTGTTTGATATACCAAGATCGGGCTTACAAAACATCATGAAAATAAACGCTTTAAGTAAAATGAAGTTCAGAGATGAAATCCAAAAAGTATGCAGGTTGCACAAAAAATCAGATAACCATACTCAAAAAACATGGTTTTCAAAATCAACCTAGCTCACTTCACTAAACTAATGAACATATGCATTTAATGTAGTAGAAAAAGAATTCAGGAGCCCATACAAACTAAAGAAAATTACAAACAAGGCATAGGGACAGTATGAGTTTTCAATCATATACCTTAACATTCCAGTTCTGATCAACCAAAAGATTTGGAGACTTTAGATCTCGGTGGACTATTATAGGTGTGCTGGTGTGTAAGCAATTCATGCCCCTAGCCTGTAAATGGGAGTGTTCAAAATGTGAAAGTTTATCGAAAATAAATGATGGTTGAAAAGGAAGAAGTGTAATTATTTCATACCACATCCAGGGCCATTTTTATTCTTCGTTTCTCATCGATCTGACAATTAGGGCGATGAAGTAATCGGTACAAGCTTCCTCTGCAAAATGGTACATCAGTAACACTGATGAGACATGTAAATATGGAAAGAGTACATGGAAAACAGCTAAGGTTGCAAAGACAAATAATCAGTTATCATTATTTTGTAAACATATGAATAATAGAAAAAGGCTATATACCTC